AAGCGAAAATCCTTCATCACTATCCCAAGCAACTACTGATTTTTTTTTAAGAAAAAGACTATGTACCTGCTACATATTTGTATCTCTAGAAGTAATTTTTTACACTAAAGAGAACACATTACATATTGTATTCTATAGGTACAAGTAATTCACAGGTCTACGCTGTACTTCATTTAACCATTCCCGTTGATCACTTTAGCTATTCTCATTCTTTCTTGCAATAAACATCTTTATACGTGGATTACAAGCATTGTGACTAACTTTTGCAAATATTTTTATCAGGTAAATTAGAAGTGAGACCGCTGGGTGGATTTAAAATTTGGATAAATGTGAGATCTGCAAACACTTAAAAATAAATCGATGCCACCTACAATTGTCACTCATGACTAAGACTCGGTCCTAGCGGAGCGTGGTTGGTCAGAGGTCGCTGTCAGGCGGGGTCACGTGGGCGGCTTCGCCCCGCCTCGCGGAGGTTCGCTTGGTGGCCGCCGCGGTGGCTCGCGCGACAGCAGTCACGCGCGGTTGGCGGCGGGCCGCTCCCGCCGAGGCGGAGCGAGGGACTCGAGGAGGGTAAGCTCTGTTCTCGCCGGGGCGGGGGGCGTGGGCGCAGACTTCCGGCGACGGCGGCCGCCGCGTCTGCACCCTGCGGCTGGCGAGAGCGGCCGCCCTGTGGCCTTTGCCCTCGGCGCCTCTGAGCCCTGAGGCCCTCCCGGGCCTCGGTCCCGCGTTCGTTAACCGTTCACGCCCTGGGCAGGCTTCCGCCCAGTCAGTGGGAGGCCCAGCGAGCATGTTCACTGGAGTCCGGATCGCACCCAGGACCTGCCGCCTAAGTGTGGCACGCGGGGTGGTTTTAACCAGCTTTCCTGGCCTTTGTGAGCTCTGAAGCATAACAACTGCCCCTGGGTCTTTACAGCCCCAGATATTCATCTCCTGAAGTGTGCGGGCGCAACAATCCATCTCCGAACAGCCCCGCTCATTCGGTCTCTGGTTACTGAGCACCCCCCGCCCCGGGTCCAGCCACTGCAGACCGTCTTTACTAAAATGTTAAACACAGCTTGAAGTCACGTGCCCATAAACTGGCAGAGCTGGAAGGACCTTCGCCAAGACAGTTAACGTGACGGTGTGTCTCCCACGGAAAAGCCCTCCTCTAAACACCTGACCTGTAGGGACGCATCCATGCCCCACAGCCTTATGGAGCCGGCCTTTCCTACTGCAGCACAGCGCTCAGAGCCGGGTTCAAACCCAGGCGAGTTCACCTGGTGATCACAGATTGCTAATATCACAGACAATGACAGCGGATTCCAGAATGGCTGCGGGACTTGATTCAGTTACTGGGGGAGTATCCCGTTTTAAACATTTGATATGACATTTGCACATTAGAGTTCCTAAATCTAAAAAAATTCAGGACCATTATATATGGTGAGATACACACACACACACACACACACACACACACTCTGCTAAAAGGTTTGGTACCTTCAAGATAATTTACTTGCAGGCCATGTGTTTTTATAAATCCATGGATGCTAGTTAGATGAAATATTAAGGTTTACATACCAATGTTCACAAATTTAGACTAATAAGATCTGGGTTTGAATCTTGACTGCTACTTTGCGAGTTTGGGTAAGCTTTTGTTAAAAAGGGTCCTTGAGGGCCGTCCGAGTGGCTCGGTTAAGTGCTCACTCAAGAATGCCAGCTCTGAACAACAGAGTCTCTTGTTCGATTCCCTGCCCGAGCTGAGCTGCCAACAGGTGGTAGGATGGCTCAGCTAAAAAAAAAAAAAAAAGGGTCCTTTACCCTTAGTTTCCTTATGTACAAAAAGTGTATAATACCCCTTAGGGTTTTGTGAGGATTAATGAACTCTCATATATGGGTTCATCAGTGGGTTCATGCAGAGTCCAAGTAGTTGGCACTCACTGAAGGATAGCTAGTTTTATCTATTATCATTCTGCCGCCCAGAGAGAAGGTACAAAACTACTATGTAAGGCATTTCTCTTCTCTGAACCTAAAAGCAAGGGTAATACCCTGGAGCTATGCATTCTGACAATATGTAGGCCCAGTCGCCAGACTTAGTAAAAACACCTTAGTAAGTGCTCAAGAGGAATAACAAGTAAGTCCCTTTAATTTCATGTCTCTTTTGTCTGCAGTGTCTTAGGGAAACTTAATTATGTTCTTTTAAAAATTCAACATGGTTTTGAATTTTTGGATTTCCTATGCTGGAAAGGTATCTAATAGAGGCTGTGTCTTTTTTAGCTAATTTGTAATTTTATGTGGTGTTAACATCTTTGGAAACCTACTTTTAGGCGCAGGCCAAAAAATATTTCTTGAAGACAGCTGTAGAACAAGTTCTAAATTTTTCAGAAAGAAGTTTTCTTCATCTAGCCTGCAAACTGGGTAAGCTGTTTAATTTTTCACTTTCTTTTTATTAAGATTCTACTATCTTAAAGCGAATTCAGAATAAAGGAAATGTGTGGGAGCATATGAATACTGTGTCAAAGTAACAGTGATTAAGGTGAACACATTGACGCTTATTGTCTGAATGGACCATGATATTGACAATATTTAAGAATAATATGGGTGCTAATTATAAATAGTCACCAGATATAAATAAATAGAACCATTTATGATACATAGAGGGAACAAGTATTTGAAGGACGAGATATTACTTTCCTAAGCAAAATGAAAGACTGTAATCATAGTTCTCTGAAATGTTTATCATTTAGCGCCAGCTTTCTCTGCCCATTGCTTATCAGCCCCTGCAAAGTTCACTACAGTTTTCCTTGGTTGAAGGCAAACATTGAGAAGACTGTATGTTCTAAGAGACTGAAACGTGAGGGGGGAATTTCTTTGGTTCTCATTTATTTGGGAGTCAGGGAGAACTTATATACCTTTTGATGCTACTCCACATCTCATGTATTTTGTTACTTGCTTGATACTAGTATTTCTTTTCTAGTTTTTGCCTGGAAAAAGAAAAGAGAACTACACATTTATTTGCTCCTGCAGTGCCAAGTTTTGAAATAAGCACTACAAAATTCTCGAATAGTCCATTCATGATCTATGCACAGGCATATTCTCTGAAGATAGTGCCATTTTACCTCCTTTTTCTTGGATTTTTGGATCATTTGCTACATAATTACAAGGTAGGATACAACTTAAATATTGAAAAAGTAATTGTAAATATAAGACAAAATTTAATACTTTGAGACATTTAAGAAATTTTGTGTTTACTATCCCTTTGCTTTTCTTTATAAATTTACTCTATATACATGTATTCATGAATAATATATTGTTTGGTTTTTGCCTATTTTTGCACTTGATAAAAACGGAAGCACACTCTGGTTTTAATTATCTTTTTCATTTAAAGTTACATTTAAAAAATTAATCCAAGTTAGTGTAGTCATACATTCTTTTTACTGCTGCACAGCATTTCACTGAATGAATATAAAAATTATCCATTCTACTATTGATTTTATTTCATGTCTAATTTGCTATTATAACCATTTTTGTTCACATCTCCTGGTGTATCTGTGCATGTTTGTCTGTAGTATACTGAAAGTGGAATTATTGGGTCATGAATATGTTCAACTTTATTAGGTAATGCCAAACTGTGGCAGCACTATTGATATCATCACTATTAGTTACTCCATGTACTTGCCAATACTTGGTATAGGTTCTTGCCAGTTTGTTGGACGGAAAATAGTATCCAATTTATGACTTTGCTTTGCATTTCTTTTACATTTTCCTACTGAGGTTGAGCATCTTTATATGTGATTAGTGGCCACTCAGATTTCATCATCTATGAAATGTTTGTTCCTGTCTTTTGTCTATTTTTCTATGGTTATTTGGCGTTTTCTTTATGGTTTGTAAGAGTTCCTATATTCTGCATCTTAATCCTCTGTTTGTTATATGTGTTGTAGATTCCATATTTCTTTCCTTTCTTTTTCTTCAGCCTATTTCCCCCTCTTTCAATTAATCTGTCTGTTCCAACGTTTCTTATTATTGCTCCTCTGTCTGTTCTGTCACAAAATGTGATAAAGGCTACACATCCAGCACTGTGGAAGTAAATACTACCACCTGAGCAATTCGTGTACTTTGTGTAGCTTCCAAACTGTTTAAAGATGTACTAATCCAGCCTCCTGTCAGCCATATTTTTGCTTTCATTGTTGTGACATAATTTTTAAAAATAGCATAAGTGTTATTTTTACCATCTTGCTTAAAACTAACTAGGTAGAGCAAAGGTTAACAATGCAAACTTCAGAATACAAATTCGACATCTCTAATTTCCTAAACTTGATTTGTGTAATGCTTTCCTTCATACTTTGAATTCAAATTTCTTCTTTCTAAAGGTCACTCCTAACACAGTCACGTAGAGATTTTACTTAATAATAATTTCTGTTTTCTAAACTTTTAAAATGAGCCATACTCTTATTTGAAAGTTGCTAAGAGAGTAAACCTTAGAAGTTCTCATCACAAGAAAAAAAATTCTGTTACTATGTGTCATGATGGATGTTAACTAGGCGTTGTGGTGATCATTTCACAATATATACAAATATCAAATCATTATGTTGTATACCTTGAAGTAACATAATGTTGTATGTCAATTATACCCCAATTTTTTTTAAAGGCTAAATAAGCCAATGCTCCTTTCCTCCTAACATTCCAAACTTCCAATTAGTCATACAGGATTAAATAAATATTTAGAGAAACCACCAGAAGGCCTGAAGCCTCTTGGCACTTCCATGTAACAAATATTCCCTCTTGGAGGGGACTGGGTCTATAGTTTGTAATTATTCTAAACTAGGTACAGTAAAGCCCGAGCGCCCCTTTTAAAGAAGTCGGATATATGTGTCTTACGTAAAACATTAACCTAAGACTTGAGTGAAATTAAAATGGCAGGTTCCTGTTGATCAAGGAAAGAGACTACAACACTCTGTATAACTTCTTATGAAATGTCCCAATATTACTGTATTTGAAGAGGATGTGGATTAGGAAGGTTCATCTTCTTAAAATTAGAATATTTGAAGTTGACATGTGACTTACAACTTTGTTAAATATCTTATAGACAAGCGTATGTGTGTTTAGTATCATGAGCATTCCATGGCAAACTTCTTAATGTTTAACAGCATCTGGTTCTAACATGGGCCATCACGTTGATTCATTTCCTTTTCTGTGTGTGATTCCTTCTCCTCTGTAAGGCAAAGTTGTATACTTCTCAAGTTACCCAAACTTTCTGTAGTTTCCCACTCCAATGAAATATCCATAAAATAATGAAATAACTAAAATGGAACTGAAAATGAAAATGTTGAGTGAAACAGCCTTGCCACAACCTTTACAATTGTCACATTTTGCTTTGGACATAATGTTTTGGACACATTTTGTCCCGGACATAAACATCTATTTGAGACATTATAACTGAAGAGTTCTGTGGGGTTGAAACATGTGTGCCATTTTTAAGGCTGATTGTGTGCTTAACCTTGAATTTCAAAGAATGGTTCCTAAATGTTTTACAATGATGTATTTGAATCATTTTAATTCAAGGACTATGTAGAGTTGACCCTTGAGCCATTCCCTATGAACAATATTGAGAGATTTCTTAGTCTTGATTTTTCTCACGTATTAATTTCTGTATTTGGCCAAAGGATATTTAAGAATACACAAACTTTAGAAATATAAGGAAAATAGAAGGGTAATAGTTAATTTTGGAAGGCAGCTATGCTCACCGCTATTACCACCAATGCTGGATGGTAACATTGGGTTGTCGGAAAAGTCATGACGCATGTTTGCAACAGGTGGCACTAGTTCATTTTTGGAAGTACTAGAGTCATTCGCATCTATGTTATTGCTATGTCATTCGACAGCTGACAGTTCTAGCTTCATTCTAAAAAAAATTGAGCAATTTGGTTGAGTTTTGGAGATTTTACAAGTTCAAGATAGGAGACCAAACTGTGCATTTTTGCCATATTTTACTGTTTTACTTCCATAAAGGGAAGAACATACATCAAACTTGTGAAAAATTGCATAAAGTTTATGGTGACAATGCTCTACAAGAATGTCAGTGCCAACGATGGCTCACAAAATTCCGTGCTGATGATTTTGATCTCAACAACACTCCTTGGACAGGGAGGCCCACCAATGTTGATGATAAGAAAATAAAGGCATTGATCAAGTCAAACCCGTGTTACATGACACGAGAGATTGCAGAAACATTGAACATCCATCATTCAAGTGTTCATGACCACCTGAAGAAGCTGGAATATGTAAGCAAGCTCCATATTTGGTTTCCACATGAACTCAAAGAAGTTCATTTGACAGCGCATATAAACATCTGCAATATGCTCATTAAACGTGAGGAAAACGATCTTTTTTTGAAGCACCTGATAACTGGTGATGAGAAATGAATTGTTTACAACAATGTGGTGTGCAAACGGTCTTGGTCCTGATGTCATGATTTGCCTCAAATGACATTGCAAGCAGACATTCATCAGAGGAAGGTTATGCTCTCAGTGTGGTGGGATTTTAAAGGTGTTGTATTTTTTGAGCGCCTACCAAGGAATCAAACAATCAATATAAATGTATACTGTCGACAATTGGACAGTTTGAACAAATCCATCATCCAGAAACGTCCAGAGCTCATTAATTGTAAAGGAGGTGTGTTCCATCATGACAACACGAGACCACACACAAGTTTGATCACCTGTCAAAAATGATTGGAACTTGGATGGGATGTGCTGCCACACCCACCATACTCGCCTGACCTTGTGCCGTCAGACTTCCACTTGTTTCGCTCTCTTCAAAACTCCTTGCGTGGTATAACGTTCAATTCAGATGAGGCTGTAAATCAGCACCTTGTTCAGTTTTTTGTAAATAAAGACAGGTCCTTCTATGAACGAGGAAGTATGAAACTTACTGAAAGATGGCAAAAGGTTATTGAACAAAATGGGCAATATATCATTGATTGTTGTTTGTTCTTTATATAAATAAGTGACATTTGAAAAACAGACAAAATACATCATGACTTTTCCGGCAACCCAATAGTTAATTTTGGATGTAAGCCCTTACTTGGACATTAACCACTATTTGATTTCTGGGACAGTAGATGTTTAGGGAGTAAGTGAAATTACAAGGAGAAAAGGGTATAAAGTAGGTCCAGCTCTTTATGAAACAACCAAATTTAAGCACAGTGTTTCCTAGGAAACCCATGCTTTCTTCCTGTACCATTGATTGTTTAATACATACTTTGAACTCAAAGTATGTAGTAAACAATGGTGGCCAGCACTGGAATGGATTTTACCTCATTGCCTTGTCTTTTTTGCTTGTTACCACTTACAAATATTTGCCATTTGAAGAGAATATAGGATAGAGAAGTGAGCAGAGAATGAATTTCATTTTCTTAGCAATAGATTGGACACTACTGGTCTTACCTCTCTTCCACTTGACCTTTAAATGATGCTTCAGAAATTGTATTAGAACTTCTTCCCTTTTTACGCACTCACTCCAAGTGATTCTGTAACTTGAAAACTCCTGAATTTCTCTCTCTAGTGGTTCTCAATTTTAGTCTCATATCTGACTGTTGACTTGATATCTCCACCTAGATATCTCTTACGTACCTCAAACTCAATATATGCAAAATGTAGCTAGTTCTTGATTTTCCATGCCTGCAAAATACCATTTATTTCTCAGTCTTTACCATCACAGTCACAATTCACCTAGTTGTACAAACCTAAAACCTGGGAGCTATCCTTATTTATGTCTTTCACTGTTGTTCCTTCATTCCTAGTACATCAGCCTAACTTCTCTGTGCCTCACTCGGTTTCCTAACTATAAATTTAAAATAACCTTCTTTGTAGTAATATGTTGGGGAATTAAATGAGTTAAATATATGTCAAGTCTTAAAACAATACCTGATGTGTAGTTAGCACAATATAATTGTAGTTACTGCTATGATGATGATGATGATGATGATTACTTTTTCTCCCCCCAGAGTGCACACCTTGGCCCAAGCCACCATCTTCTCTCCCAAGGACCAGTGCAATAGCTTTCTGATTTCTGCGCTTCCACTCTTGTTTTGCTATAATGTATTCTCTACAGCCAGGACTTTCTTTTAAAAACATATCATGTCACCCTTCCCTGCTTTAAACCCTTCAGTGCCTCCTCATTGCTCTTAGAATAAAACCTATACACCATGTGCATGACCTGCTCCTGTCTGTCTCACTGTCTCATTAAGCTCCAGTCTCCTTTCTGTTCCTCAGACTAACCAAGCTTTTTTTTTCCCCCCCTTCAGGCTTTTGCATTTGCTGTTCCTATAGCCTGGCATTCTTTCTCTTCCTCCAGTTCTTAGCATGTCTAGTTCATTTATATTTTTCAGGATTCAGCTCAACTGTCATCAGAGTCACCTTCCTAACCCATTCTTTGCAAAATAGCCTCCCCGTTTCTCTTTATCATACAGTTCATTTTCTTCATGGCTCTTATGATAATGTGTAATTATCTTACTTGTGTAATTTATTTATTATTGGTCCCACCAACTAGAATATAATTTTTAGGAGAGCAGAGACCTTATCTGTTTTACTTCCTTGAAGTGGCAGTCACATAGTGGGTGTTCAGAAAATATTTACCAAAGGAAAGATCATCTCTAACAAGGAAGGTGACCTTTGCAGAAGAATCCGAAAATTCATAGTTGAAAATTTTCTTTTTATTTTCTAATGCTGCTATGCTAAAGATTATTGTCAATAGCCACTCCTTGAGAATTGTGCCTGCTCACTTTTTCAAACATACATTCTTCCCCAAATAGATTACAAAGACACTTGTCCATCAGTGTCTGAAAGATAAAAATCGGTTGTGATTAGATGTTACCATGCACCTTTCATTTCTGCCATACAATACAGGGGTTGAAGTAGGCCTGCTCCAAGATAATGGTCCAGGTACATATAGAATCTGATGCCTGAATTTTGTAGGCAGCTTCTGTCATGGCCACCCATATAGTGGAGCGAGCTTGCTTTATGCAGGTGCAGAGCTGGAAGATTCAAGATTCCCATTCTCCAGCAGGGGGCAGAAACCACACAGGGGTAGCTGACAATATAATTATTAGGAAATAAAGGGGGAAAGCAAAACCCTTTGAGAGTGGTCTCAGTTTCTGTCTTGTGATTTTTATTTTATTACGTGCAAAGATTCAAAACATGCTCTTGCCTACAGGAGAGAGTTCTTTGTCACCCCTGAGATTATAAATGGTTCTTTACACTTTCTGAAAGTTATGGAGCACCACAGTCTCTATCCTGATAGGGAGGAATGTTTCCAGAAACTTTGCAATAACAACTCTAATGGGAAAAGGGTAGGAATATTAGGATAGATTTGGGCTTAGAAGTGAAGAAAGAATAAACAAAGAAGTTCTTGAAAAACAGGATGTATAGTTTTGATATTCAGAAACTATCATAGAAAAAGAAAATACTCCTATGTGGGAGGCCCTCAGGAAAATCCTCCTATGGGTCCTGAAATCCCTGACACTGATGTATAATGATGTTTCTTTCTCCCATGGAATTAACAGACTATGACTATGTTCTTAAGCTATACAGAAAGTCTCTCTGAAAGGGTTGCTTTCAAAGAATAGGCTGAATATCTGTGCTGAGAAAAAATATATTTAGGAATACACCTGCAAATTCTCTACTAAAACTTTGTTTAGAAATACAGGTTTACATACTTCTATAAATTAATTGAAGAGAAAGTCATCTCTTTGCATGCCCAAATAAGGCAGAAGAAAGTAATGATACTTTCTGATTTAAAAAAGTGAAACTTGTCCATTCATCTATCCCCTTCTGTTAGGATAGTTACCAAGTGGATACGTAGAAGCTGGGCATCCACTCCAGGCAAAACCACATGAGCCACTTTACCCAAGAGGTCCAAGGCTATTTAGACTATCATAGAATCCTACCTTCAGCAGGAAAATAACCAGATGATGTTTAGCATTGAGTTTGATCGGGAATAAAAGGATAGTGAAACTTGAGTCTCTGTGTCTCAGGAGTCCTAAACTATCCATCTTACACACTGAAATGAATCTAAGACAAGTCCAGCTTCAATGCGAGGTGTCCTCCCTAATTTTAGCAAACTTTAAGAGCCTCTAACACAAAATCTGGCATTTAGAAGTGTTTTATATAGCTACAAAACATGCCTCCATTAATCTCAGAGAAATCAAACATCTTACAATATGATTCTCTCTGAAGTTATTGTAGCCAAACTAGTGAAGACCACTTGCAATTTTTTCTTTTTTCTTTTTTTGGTTCAACTAGCATGGATCTTAATGGCTCTGAACAAGATCCTGAAATGAAGGCATATTCTGCTGTCTGGGTTGGCAGAGAAGATAACATTAAAAAATCTGAAAGAATGACAGCTGTTGTCCATGATAGAGAAGTGGTCATTTTCTACCACAAAGGAGAGTATCATGCTATGGATATTCGCTGTTACCGTAAGAGTTTATTTTTCCTTTGTAAATCTTATATTTGTTTGCTAACCACAAAACCATCAAAACTTCAGGTTTTCTTTAGTGACTAGATGTAATTCCTTTTCAGACTCAGGAGGACCTTTACATTTGGGAGACATAGAGGTATGTAAAAATCTATTATCAACAAACTCAGATGTTTGCTATTTATATTGTCATTTCATTCTGTATTCAAAAATAATTTACATTTGCGTTTGGACTATATTTTAGTGCTTTGACTGTAATTGCTAATATTCTAGGAATTCTCAGCCCTACAATGTAAAGAAAACCATTTCACAGATAAATATGAGAAATATGCATGTCTTCTGACCTAGCAGTTATACTCTGAAGTATCTACCCTACAGATATAATTGCACAAAAGTATATATATACACACATATATATGTGTATGTATAGCATATATATGTGTGTATACACACACACACACACACGAGGTTTATTGTAACATTATTTATTGTAATAAAAAAATTTACAGCAACCTAAATGTTCTAACAATAGGAAACAGTTTAAACAAATTATGAATAGCCATACTATAGAATACTGTGCAACTATTAAATTAAAGCAGCAGCTCTATATGTGTTGCTATGGAGGGATGACAACCATATATTTTTTATTTAAAAAAGCAAGTGGTAGAATAACAGGTCTAATGCAATCCCATTTTTAAAATAAAAAACAGCATTTGGTTTTTATTTTATATGCTTCCACCCAGTTTGAATTTTTCCAATGAGTATATATTACTTTTATAATGTAATACAAGTGTGTGTATATGTGTGTGTGTATGTATATATGTATATACACACATATGTATATATACGTAAAGAGAGAGAAAAACCACACTTCATAGGCTTAACTGAGGAAGGAATGGAGAACTGTCTTATTTCTTTGCTTTCCCAAACGAGCTGTCTTATTTCTTGCTTTCTACTTCATGATACTGATCTCTGTCTGTCTGACTGGTATTAAGTACAAGCTTAAGCCAGTGTGACACTCTCTCTACACTTCCTATCTAATGCCACATCTTCCCTCATGTTAAAGGACATATGTGTGTTTAAATTATGAATATTAGTTTTGGAATTATGAAAATGTGAATGTTTGTGGACAGTTCTGTGGGGATACAATATCAGTATTACTGCACTTCTGGTGTAGAGAAAAAATGTAAGCCCCTGGTGAGGATAATGTGGAAGAATTTCCCTCCCTGTCAGAACATAATGAGAGCTGCAAGACCTTGCTGCTCCAAGAGTGGTCCATGGACCACACGTACTAGTGTCACCTGGTAGTTCTCAAAATGCAGAACCTGTGCTCGCCCTAGGCCACTGAATTTAAACAAGATCTGCATTTAAACAAGATGCTGGTGACTCCATGCTCTTTAAACTTTGAGGAGCTGCTTTAAGACAGTTAAAAAGTTGAGAATTGACTACTTTGGATCATAAATCACTCTTCAATTAACACATGCACTCATGCCTTTAGTAACCTCTCCTGAATTTCCATCTGAAGCTTACCATTCTTCCAGCAGCTAGTGAAGATTCTTTTACAAGCACCTGAAGCCCTTGCCTCATTTCTGCCAAGGAAGTGACGCTGACATTTAATAGATAACAGGACAGCTGCAGTCACATGGTATAGTTACCTAAACTGGTTATCTTCTGATAGAACTCTAACGCCCTGGGTTTATAATCAGCTGCAGAAGGGACTTGATGACTGCAAAGATTAGGTTCTGCCTTATGCTGAATTTGTAAATGGGAGGAAAAAGAGAAGCTGGCCTGTTCCTTAACCTGGTTCTTTGGCAACAGATTCTATTCAGAATCTGAGGTTTATTGTGAACACTGGAAATGTCAGACTATTAAATCAATTATTTCCTTCCCCAGGATTTTGACGGACGATCGTGTATAGTTTGCCCCTGGCATAAATACAAAATTACTTTGGCAACAGGAGAAGGACTGTATCAGTCTATAAACCCTAAAGATCCATCAGCAAAACCCAAGTGGTGTTCCAAAGGAGTAATGCAAAGGATTCATACAGTGACAGTGGACAATGGAAATATTTATGTGACTCTTTCTAATGACTCTTTTAAATGTAACTCTGATTTTTATGCCACTGGAAACTTCAAAGTAATTAAGAGTTCTTCCTGATAAAATTACATGGCAATGAAAAATGTTCTGTATGTTTTGAAACTAACCTTGCTTCAATACCAAAGACGATTAACTTTTTCCAACATAGGCACATTTGTTATTTATCTTTTAAAATCATGTAAATCTGAGAGGTTCAAAAGTACATGTACTGAATATGATGTAAGGATTATTATCAGTATCCATAGAATACATTTCATCCATTCCTCTGTATTGATTGGAACCTGAAGGTTTAGGGTCTGGTATGTGCATTTTTAGAAGGATGAAAATTATTTAAAATGACTAAAATGAAGAAAAGGTAAAAAATAAGATCTAAGAAAAATTTGTGGGGAAAATCCCAATTTGATGTAGCAGATTTTATCACAGAAAAGGTTTTTAATATATACAAAATAAACAGAATAGTACAATAAACTCTTATGAACCCATCTTCACCAATTACCAGTATTCTTCCATTCTTGTTTCATTGATACCTCGATGCATTCCCCATCTCCCCTATTTGGTTATTATTACTTTTTTAGGTAAAATGTAAATACATTGAAATGCTTAAATCTTAACTGTTTGATTTTTCCAAATGTATAACAGACTTTTTACACTTCAAAAATGACTCCAAAAACGGGATCAATTTACATGCTGAATTTAAAAATAAGAAACTTATTAATGTGCTGGACATCAAAACCAAATACACCTCGGCTGAGTTTCTCTCCAGGCAAGGCAAACAGTCTCAAAGCAGGAAGACACACACAGCTGCTGCCCAGCCATGCGAAGAGATGTGAAGTCTCCTATTCAGAGAGCCAAAATTCTCTGAATGCCTATGTGAGATTTTCAAGTACAGGTTTTCTTAGTGTTAGAGAACTGCGTGTATGTATGTACAACTAAGTGTTTCATGTTAGTATTACAGAGAGATGAGATACGAGGCGGTGTTCCTTTCTGCTAAGCTGACGTGAAGTTGGTTCTCCCTACGTTTACCAAGCCAGTTATAATATTTGAGGCCAGCACTGCCCTGGTTGCCTGGTGCCCACGCTGTACTCTAACACCCTGAGTGCGGGTCATCTGAAACTTGGCAGCACATGGAATATAAGCCTGAGTGGGACCAGAAAGCCCTAGGGTGAGCAGAATATGAATTCGGAGTGAGAAAAGCTGTTTGTGAAGCCCCCAAACTAGTCTCAAAGCACAGTAATCTTCTCCATAGCACAAGGTTGAACTAAGACTCCAGTCCTAATCCTTATCATTCTAAGGGGCCCATCTGGACTCTTTCCCTTGTTTTTTGTAAAAATAATGAGTGAATGAGGTATGTATCATTAAGGCTCTGCTTACAGAGCCCTTTGCCTAATATCATTAATTTCCTTTTCTAATGGAATATGGGGAGTATGAGGTAATACAACACTCGCTATTCATTTCTCAGATGACTACTGAAGAGCCAGGCTTGGGCTTTGCATACATAACTGTGTATGGCAGCAGCTATTCACCATGTACAGGAAATGTACCATCTCTGAGATGGTTACATCCCAGCCTATTATATCAGGTGCTAATCCTCCAGTGACCAGTCAAGTCTTAACACATGGACAGAATTTAAATGCATGGAAGAAAATAAAATCCCTTCTGCAGATAAAATCATGGCCCTAGTTTGCAAGGCCAATTACAGGAGCATTTTCTCTCAGGATCCAGTGACAATAGTGAATAATATGGACTTGATTTCTGGTTCTAGATTTGTTACTCTAAACCTGGAAATAAAAATGTCATCTTCTGTCCTCATCAGATACAGAAATTTTTTCATCAGATTCTAAATAATACCCTGTTTTATAAATTTGTGACATCTATGAATTGCAAGTCCTTCACAGTTTACAGATGAGTTATAAAAAAATTGATAATAGGCAGAATCAAACTATGCACCTGTATATAGAAAACAAATATCCTTTGAAAAATACTTCTGAAAAAGATATGTAGCATTTTGATAGAGAGGGTTTTCTTCCCTCCCAGAAAAATAATTGAAAAAACACTTGAAACAGGTCTTTAATAAACACATAAATGTATTATAAATATACCCATATTATAAACCACAGTATAAAGTCTAACCCACCAAAGGTACATTTCCTTGTTCATTAAAAACTATCATGCTGCCACTGAGCTGCCAACAGGTGGCAGGATGGCTCAGCTAAAAAAACAACAACAAAAAAAAAAACAGGGCCGGCCGAGTGGTACATTGGTTAAGAGCCGGCTTGGGACGCCAGAGAGCCCCGGTTCGGATCCCACATATGAGGGCCAGTGACACTGCCCTCTACAGCTAAGATGCTGAACAACAGCTCGACCTGGAGCTGGGCTGCAGTGAGTCACTGGCGACGGCGTGAGCTGCAGCCCCTGCTGCAGTGGGTTGCCATGGGCTACCGTGTGTAGCCAGCAGCTAGCGTGAGCGGCCAGCAACCGCCATGAGCAGCTGTCCAGAAGCTGCTGATCTGCCTCTCCTGGGAAGAGCGCAATGATGATGCCAACTTGGGCCAGTGAAGCAACATCCTCCACAACTAGACTGAAGAACAAAAGGACAGCAACTTGTCTGTTCCCCTTCCCCCAATTCCCCAGCGCTGCTCCCATCTCCCAATTCCCCAATAAAAATCTTAAAAAACAAAAACAAAAAACTATCATATATACATATATATATTCTACATCTATATATACTATATTCTACATAAAGATGCATTCTATTTTCTCTACCATATAAATGCTTGAGAATGACACTTTATTAGTAGTTCCTCACTCCCTTTTTTTAAAGCAGAGCAGTCAGTATATGAAAACTAGTTTCTTAGTTTCATCAGATGAAAATCACTAGATAGATAACTCTTAAGCTCTGTTCAGTGATGTGTATGTTCAGATTTGCTCATTCATTCATTTCAGTTGATTGGTCAAACACAGAATGTAAAACTTGGATCTTATTACTCAACTTATTAGCAGGAAGTTTGAGGCAATCTGAAATACTGTCTGGCTTCTCCGGTAATGACCTGTAAGGTTTTACTTTGATTTCATCTTCAGGAAACTTAGGCTCAGAAAGCACAGGCTCAGAAAAGGCTTTTCTAAGATTTTCACTCCCATCTCTGTTTTGCCGTATGAATTCTTCTTCTTGGAAAATTTTCTTTACCTTCTTCAGCACAGCATTAACACAGATTGTCTAATAATAAACAAAATTGTTTAAAGTTTCTTTTTAAGCTACTAAATTTACAGGTAGAAAGTCCAGTAAAATATTTAACAAAGTCATAAATCTACATATTTTAATAAAGAAGCACTTCCTTTTAGGAACTCCTGGCACATGATAAACATCAGGAGATTGATTCCTTATTTTAAATACATTACACCATAATCTAGAAAGAAAATTAAAACCTAGTATGATTAAATAAAGAACGCTTTATATCTTTTCTCAATTCATTAGCTATTTTATAGTTTTATACTCTAATTAAATCAAACATTTCCTTTATTCTCTTGATTTAATTGAGTGAAACATTTTCTGAGAGAGAGAATTTGTCTTGAAACATGTTAATATCTCCAAGTAAGTTTTTGTTTTTGCTTTTCCCCCCTGGACTGTGCTCTACCTGTGTGTATGCTTGGAAGGGCATTAACATTTTGGTAAGATTTTAGTAAGCTAGTAGATCAATGATGTCTAAGCAAACATGTGACCCACCTTCCCTGAAAAATATTCCATTCAGTACTTTAAGAAAATGTCAAAAAACCAAACATATAGAGAAAAATAACTTCAAAAACTGAGAGTCACTAAGAACTGTATCCATTCAACTTATGCTGTAAGTTTACTAATGATGAAGATGATGCCAAGTATTTAAGGCAAGCAACAAAAATAATAAAAGCCATGAAATATGAGAAGACCTAGACTAACATACGTTAGTAGAGGTGCGTCAAGGTGACATGATTAATTGGCTTTAAACAATTAGAAGGTTTTCAGAGAGTAACAAAGAAAGGACTGAGGGGCTCTGCTTGAAGTGCCTGGGCTTCCTCCTGGCCTGCTGCCTCCTTTCTTGCCTGCTTCCCACTGTGAAATGGGGGTACATCAGATGCTTTCTTTTACTCCCCTGCAATGAGTGTGTGGCCACATGACACTGTTCTGGACAAAGAAATAGAATATGTCTGCTGGGGAGGAGGTCAGGAGGATTTTTGGAAAAGTTTTTTTCCTCCTATATAAAAAGACTCTTTTGCCCCTCCCTAACCCCTCCTTCTTTCTTTGGACACTGATATAGATGTGATACCTGAGCAAACTTAAGGACCATAAAGAACAAACAGGATAGCAGAAGAAAAAGACAGAAAGGCCCTGGGTTCATGAAGACATCACAGCTCCACTATACAAACCTGGGAAATGCTTAACTCCATACTTCTAATTAAGTGGGATATTTAAATGTCTTTATCCATTAAGGCACTGGAAAGTATTTTTTTGTTACTTGCATCTGAGTAGATCCAAACCTAGAGCTATAAAACTTGAGGTCCATCACTTCCAGCTGCAAACAGCTTCATCCATTTATCATTTTCTATGTATGCCATGCTGTGGAAAAAGGTTTGGAAACCCTATCCTATCTGATATATGTCTTCTTCCCTCACCTACAAATGTTTATCTGTGCCCATTCTAACCACTTCTGTCTCAGAAAATGAAAGGTCTTGATCAAGGTCAGTGCCTGTCTTTGCTTTTAACCTATTCCCGGTCATCTTCCCTATCAATTATTCTCTGACTCTTCAACTTCTTGTTCTTGACTGGCTCTACCCCTGCAACCTGTAACATCCTCAAGTATCTTCCCTCCTAAAATTCAAAAGTTAAAAAATCCCTGGGACCCTGTTTCCCTCTTGACAGCTACACACTCTCTTCTTGATCAAACCAGAATCTACATTCATGGTTTCTATTTTATCATCTTATTTCTGTCTTCCTTAGCCCATCACATCACTGAAATAGTCCTCAAGATGGTTAACTCCAACATCTTTACTACTAGATCTAATGGACACCTTTCAAATCTTAATTTTATTTTACTTTGTCTGCTTGTATTTAACACTTAACCACTCACAACTTCCTGAGTCTCTATTTCCTTGATATTGTTGCTCCTGATTCTCTTCTTACTTTTCTGATGATTGCCTAATGGATTTCTTCTTAGCTTACCTTAAATGTTGCTATTCTTCACACTTCTGTGGACTTTCCACTCTTTTCACTTGACATGGTTCTACTCACAAGATATTAACTTCCAACATATATGTTATGGGTCTTCAAAACCATAGTTCCAGACCTGACCCCTCCTAGGCCTTGGATGCATATTATATGACTAATTATCAGGTCACAAAAATTGTTTCTATTACCTACTTAGAACGTTTATAGCATGACAGATCATGTGGAATGATTTCAAATGAGTTGTATTTTGGTGTTGGTCTAGTTTGTTTTAGTCTCACCATAGCCATTTCATCCCACCCATTTTTTGCAGTGTATTTGCATCCTAGCTCAGTTGAACGTCAATCTTGTATGAAATTTACATTTAAGATATTGAGGACATATCAACATTTTAAAACACTTGCAAAATATTTGATAAGTTCAGGGGTTTTTTTAACTGAATATGTTTAAAAGTAAGTTGTTGTACTTTATTTTCAAAATGTCATGGATATTCTTGACCCTTTACATTTTCCCTATAAATTTTAGAATAAGCTAGTCAACTTACACACACACACACACACACACACACACACACACACACACACACACACACACACCTCTGCTCAGATTTGAATTGGGACTGCACTGAATCTATAGATTATGGGGAAATGTTAATCTTTATTACTGTGTGCTTCGATATGGTCAAAAAATATTTACAAAAATGTTCAAGACCTCTAACAAAAAACCATAAAAAATTATTAAGAGAAATTAAAGAAGATATAGAGGGATATAACATGTTCACAGATTGGAAGAAGGGCTTATTCTACCAGTTATTAAGGCTTATTATAAAGCCTTAATGATAGTGTTGAATTGGTTCAAGAATAGACAACTAGATCAACTGTATAGAATAGAGTCTATAAACAGACCTTAAGGACACTTGATTTGTGACAAAAGAAGTGTTCTGGGGCAATAGGAAAAGGGTTTTATTATTCCCAATAAATTGAGTCTGTTCAAGTGGATACCTATGGAGGAAAAATTTGACCCTTACCTCATACCAATTCCAGATGGATTATAAATCTAACAGTGAAAGGTAAAATAATAAAGCTCCTAGAATACATCAGAGGGAATAGTTTTGTGACTTTGGATGTATGTCAAAATTCCCTAGTTAAGACATATAAAGCACTTAGCATAAAGGAAAAGATTAATAATCTAGACTGCATTAAAATTAAAAACTTCTCTTTTAAAAAACACTGATAAAGGAGTGAAAAGGCAAGTCACAGAATAAAGAAATTTGCCCATATGTAACCCAAAAAGGGCTTCTTCCTAGAATATATTTTAAAGGTATAAATCAATAATAAAAATATGGACAATTAATAGAAAAGTAAGAAGAGACTTCAACAGAAATTCACAAAAAAAGATATCCAAATGTCCAATTGATGTGTAAAAAGGTACTCAATCTCATTAATCATCAAGGAAATGTAAATTAAAACCACAATATGATAATACTCATACCACAAGCATGACTAAAATGGAAAAGTTTGATAATACTAAGTGTCAGTGATGATATAACAGCAACTGGGATTCTTATAATCTCCTGGAAAGAATTGTTGTAACCATTTTGGAAATCTATCAATATCTACTAGAGATGAATACATGCATAGTCTATGGTACACCAATTTCACCAAAACATATGTACAAAAATATTCATAGCCCCTTATTCAAAATAGCTAAAACTGTAAATAATCTAAATCTTCAAGAGTAGAATGGATAAAGTGATACAGTGACTCAATGAATCAATAGAATACTACACAGCACTGAAAGTCAACAAATGACTGCTATAGGCATCAAACGAATGAATCTCACAATGATAGTGTTGAGCAAAAGAAGGCAAATACAAAATAATATACAGAATATGATTTCATCTATATACAATTCAAACAAAACCATCTATGAAATTAGAAATCAAAATGGTGGTTGCCTTTACAGAAGGATTAGTGATTGTTAGGGGGACAAAAAAGAGGCTTCTAGAATGATGGTAATATTTTGTTTCTTGACTTGCGGGGTACATAGGTTAATAGAGTTTGTGATAATTCATCAAGCTGTGTACTTTTTGTATATTATACTTTAAAAAAAATTTAAAGGTAAGTATAAATGGCAGTGGATTAAAAGAAAATAACCCTTTATAATTTATAAAATCTTTTATATTTTTGTCATGCTTTTTAATGAACACTGTTTGAATTACAGCACTTGTAATTCAAACTACACTTTTTAAAAATATTTGTGTTCTCTAAAATCACAGACCAAAACAATGGAATTCTGAATTTTAGCCAACCACAGCACAATAGCTGAAACAAAACACCAACTAAATGAAAGCAAAACCAAAACGTTTTGACCAAACAATAATAAACTTTGTAAGAATGAGATAACTTTAGTTATTTAAGCAAATTAGTTTTTGGTGGATTGAAGGAAAATTTTAATGTAAAATTTTTTGTAACAAGAGACTAATACTTTGATTTATGAATAGACTGTACAGTGTATCTTTAACATTACATAAAATAAGTATATTTCTAGATTCTAGTATTTTTTTTAACTTACCAAATAAATTAGTGCTGCATATGAAGCATATATTATGCTAGTTAAAGCAGTCTTTGCTGGAAAGGAAATGATTTCAAACAAAGAACCCTTTCTGACCTGCAAAAACAGAAGAGAGTTTTCTTATTAAAACAAAAGTTTTCCATGTTACAATGTTTAATTTTACAATGTTATTGAAAAATGAGAATTTAAATACTTCTTTCTAAAGAAAGTCATCTACTTTAGATCTATCTGGGTGTTTTTCACATTCTGAAAATATATTAGTTTATTTTTCTCCTTTAACAGAAAGATACTCTCTTTCGCTAATCAAAGCCTATGACAAATCTACAAAAACAACCTTCCATTTCCAAATCTAAATTACTTTAACTTTTTATACATTTACCAAGTGCTCACTAGGGGGTGCTGCTGTGCATGTTAGAAAAACAGCCTTTTGTTCAAATTCATGTAATCATCCTTTACTAAATTATTGATTTCTTCTATTAAGCAAACAGCAGTCAAAACACGAAGCATTTCCTGGAGATTAATGGCCTGCTTGGAAATGTTAATCAGGAGACAGCTGAAGGCCAACATTAAGCTCAGGGGATCACTAACCCTCAGGAAGTGCTCAGTGCTCATATCCAGCATGCTTTTTTGAAACACAGAGGTTTACACCAATAATTAATTTTCCTCTCAGATGTTTCTAGCTTCTGATAATAGAAGGTGTCCCTGCCTAAAACATAACAGCATAATATATTCAGTGTAAGGGAACTACACTCTTATAGGCTGCCTCTGTTGCCTTGAGCAGGACAGGAAATGAGGACATTAGGAAAAACATTCCCTTCCCATTCAGCAGTGCAGTGGCAGTTAGCCATGCTGCTCTGAAGGAAGAGCCAAGACCTCGAGCCAAGACCTCAATGACTTCAGTAACTCCCCAATGGCACAGGCTGTAGCGAATAAAACCATGCGATTGCACAGCAAAAATACACACAAACTAGAAAGAACCGTAGGTACGTGTTCATTAAAAAGTTATATTGTATATTACATTGACAACTGAATTAATGATAGAATAATTAGGTAAATTATGCTATATCCACTCAACAGTATATTGCAGCCTTTTAAAAGATGCTTCTAAAGAACGTGTGATAACATTTTATTGGACAACATTTATATGGTGCTGGGTACCAGATCCTGTTCTAAGTGCTTGTTATTGTAGTAAACTTTTTGCTTACTGCTGCTACTACTGAATGACAAGCAAAATTGCCCATTACAATTTCCCTTCTCTCTTAAGGGATTTCTGGAATGCTGAAGCCAGGAATACTGTCTAGCCTAGTAGCTAAGAGATAGCTGGGGAGGGGGGTGTACCATTCTTATTCCCTATTTTTCAGGCTATACCAACTCCTACATAGAGGAATAGATAAGGGCAGTTTGAGTCCCGTCTCTCCGTAAATCAGTCTGGAAAATTTCCCAGAGTTCCTGACTTCTGGAAAGAGTTTCCAGGAAATGAAGCAGCTGTTGCTGTTTCCCTCTTGCTAGAAGAATCAAAATGAGAGCGTGCCTTTGAATCCCGCTACTAGGCTACAAGGGAGTGTTTGCTGTGCTAGCAGAGAGCAGACGCAGACATTAGGAAGGAAAGCAGATATACTCCAATAAAGTGCCTCCTAGCAGAGAAAATGATTATGAGTTTGTGAATATATGAATGTAAGTGAGAGGTCTATATTCAATAATTGGTAGACCCTATACAATAAAAATAGAAGTGGGGTCTGCGTGCATAAGCAATTACTCTGTTTCTGTTTCACTGCATCTTTTTCAGATTTTGCCTTTCACCTAAAAGTAATTGAAACTGATTAGTTTCTAAATAAATTATGTATTTGATATACGTTATGCTTCTGAATGATGAATCTGTTGCATATTGCCAAAGGGTCACTTTTTCACCATTTTAATGCTTTTAATAAATACTCGCTATTCCTGTGACAAACCACCCCTGTAAAAAATACATTTCCTCCGAAATTCATGTGGCTACTGGCAAGTAGCCATTTTTCAATTTTTAGGCTTACTTGCAATACATGTTTTTCATATTATAAGCTACCTAGTTTCATTTTTGGCTGGCTATGAGCAGGAATAGTGATAAACAGGAGAAACTTTACCAAATGGGAGGCTTTATTTAGATTGCCTTGGCCTAGTTCAAAAGTTTTATCTTAATCTTTTTGTCATATTAATTTTATATTGTTTGTATATTTAAGTTAAAAGTACCTTTTTAAAAAAAGATTTTTATTGGGGAATTGGGGGGATGGGAACAGTGCTGGGGAATTAGGGGAAGGGGAACAGACAAGTTGCTGTCGTTTTGTTCTTCAGTCTAGCTGTGGAGGATGTTGCTTCACTGGCCCAAGCTGGTACCATCATTGCGCTCTTCCTGGGAGAGGCAGATCAGTCACCAGCTTCTGCACGGCCGCTCACAGTGGCTGCTGGCCACTCACGCTGGCTGCTGGCTACACATGGTAGCCCATGGCAACCCACTGACACAGGGGCTGCAGCCTATGCCCTCACCGGTGACTCACGGCAGCCCAGCTCCAGGTTGAGCTGTTGTTCAGCATCTTAGCTGTAGAGGGCGATGTCACTGGCCCTTATATGTAGGATCTGAACCGGGGCCCTCTGGCGTCCCAAGCCAGCTCTTAACCAGCGCTCCACTCGGCCGGCCCAAGTTAAAAGTATCTTGATATTAATATTATGCCCACGTAGTTCTTTTCTTTTTAATTTGGTGATATTAACCCATAAGATATAAGGATATTTCAACAGTTATCAACATTTCAATCTCTAAGTAAATTTCTCCCACATATTGGGTTGTCAGAAAAGTCATGACACATTTTTGCAACGAAAAACATAGAAAAAATGCGTCATGACTTTTCCCACAACCCAACAATTCTGACTGCCTCATCTCATAAAAGAACTATCTGGTTTTCACTAATGAGGTAAATCACAAAAAAAAAGCAAACTATAAGTAGCTTAGAAAATAAAAGATCCACTTACAGATGACCTAAAGGTTGGAAAACTAACAGACCCAATGTGGTTTATGTTGTCCAAAACCACTTTGATCAGGGACACCAGGAAAGTAATGGGGGAAACTAAGTTAGTGATTCACAAATAAGTGCTGCAAGAAGTACTGACTGATGTTAATAGATAGCTCCAGAAAAAAAGAACGTGTCTTTGCTTAGCAACCCACAATCCTAACGAGCACAGGACAGACTCCGAGCAATGCACAGTAAAGAAAGCTATTTGACTTTGTTTATCCCAGTATGAACATCCTGTGGGACCCTGTTCTTGAATAAGCTCTTAATCAGGTGGTCCTGTAAAACCTCAAATGTCCCAACCTCTTGGCCAAACTGGAGAATTACATCTTTAAGATTCCAGTGGTCCTGCGTTCTAGGAATTGTCCTTTGTCCCCAGGTCTTAAATTATACCACCCAAGATAGCCTTATGGCTGGCTCTACCAAGGACCTACAGAAGTTCCTGATATTTGTGAGGTTTCTAGTTTGAACCCTCAACTTGAGTCTATCTTGGAGGGTTGGGGTGAGGAGGAAACTTTAGTTAGAAAAGCCTCTGACCTTCATCTGAAAAGGGGGAGCACAAGGCACTTGTATCCACCTATGGCACAGGTATTTTAGAGACTGCGGGTTTTCTTCACTTTTGCCCATATCTTGCCCATATCACTCCACAGTACAAAGTAGAAACAGACATCTCTAATGCCACTGTAAGAAAAATTCTATCACAGGAAGAGCGCCTGGTCCTGTGGCCCTGCACTGACCTGCCAAAGTCAACAACCATGTCTGGGAGCTGACGTGTCTGGCTGAAGTCAGCATTCAAGCTGATTATCTAGGTCACTGCGACTTAGAGCAACTGCAAGCTTCACTCAGCCAGGCAGCTTACAAGGCTAAGCAGATGCACCATTCTGTAAGTACTGGTGCTGGGAATGTGGAAAACCACCAGAATATTCTCTATCCAGTTTTCCATTTCTGAGGTCCCCTGTAGAACTAGCAGATGTCACTCCAATCTCAGCTCTGCAGAACCTGGAAGGGCTTGAGGAGCCACCTGACTCAGCACCCACAGCGCTAAGTGCAAAGCAAGTCTCTTTTAACAAGATGGCCAGCTGTAAACTCCTAACCCCAACTCTCTGTGCTCATGTCACAACAAGCCATCAGAATGTCTTCAGGTCATCTGTATCATTTGGGTCTTTGGGTAGTTCACAGTTGACATAATACCTTTGATATATTAAGGTATGTATGACATGCTCTAGAGCTGATCATCCAACCACAAAGGCCTGGGCAGATTGTCAAGGGAGCTCCTGTGACAGTGTCCATTCTCTAATTAGCTCAAGGAGACCATTAACTATAAGCTTCATCTCAGACCACATCAAAGGGTGTCCTAATGAAATGCTCCTCTAGTCGGTGTTCTTGAGAGAGGTAATCTGCCTGACTGGCGATCCCAGCTACATAATATTCAACAAAGTTTGGGTAGAACCATTTAAAGTGTCCCAGGTAAATCATCCTCTTAGCAGTGAGACATGAAGGGGACATGAAGACGATCTTTGACACATACCTACAGATTAGGTGAACTGGCTGCTTACTCCCCTACATAAAGTGAGGTCCTCCATGCATCTACCAAGCATATCCCCTTGCACAGTAATTCCAGATTTCACTCCTGTTACTTCTGTACACCACAAAGTTCCGCCTTGACACAGGTGGCCTGACTATTGAAGGAATTCATGTTGGAATCCACTCTGGGTAAGCTGAACTCTGTCACTTTGGGAAGGCAGCCAGCAGTGTACCAGGGTTGGTCTAGTTCCTCTGTGCTATGCCACTTACCTCAGCACACTCCGGGACCATGATAGGCTCCATTCACAGACCAATCCATTGACCTCCACCATACCTCATACATTATTCTGTTCTTTCTTTGACTCTCCGGGCCACTGTCTTCACTATTCATACTTCTATTACTGAGACTTTCAGATTGAAGCTATGTTGTTTTCTTCTTTGCTCCAAAACTTGAGTTTCCTCTCAGTGACTTCTCTGTGGTTCTCTGCCCTAGTTAATAAATATTACCCAAGGAGAGCTGCCTCCTCACTCCTA